ATATATATATATATATATATATATATATATATATATATATATATACAATAGTTTATTTATTTTGCAATTGTTTATTTATTTCTTTACTTTTTTTGTGAGTTACTTTCAAGAAAGAATTTTAGAGTTGGATGAAGTCAAGACGGAAGCAATGACTAATGACTCGTATGGATAAATGAGAAAATTAAATAAGCTTTAATTTTAATAAAAACGATTTGAAAAAAAAGTAATCTTAATGGATTTTTTAAAATTATATTAAAAATATTTCTGCAAAAATTATAAAAAAGTAAATTTCATACTTTTGCTATATGTAAGAGCTTTATGAAGAACGGTTGCAAAAGTCCTTGTTGTAAATTTTGCCAATTTCTAAGCAATTTAATTTCTAGTGAATTTTTCCTTTCACTGAATTGCCTTTAATCAGATAAAATCGGTTAGCAAAACATGTTTTCATGCTGCATATTTAATTCAAAAAAAGCCGTTTGTCCAAGCAGCACATTCATTCAATTCTTTTAACAAATTGACCATAATTCCAACTTTTGGCAGAACTTTTTTCAACATTTATTTTCACATTTGATTTTTTTTCTGCGAAAAAGTAGCAGTATTTTTTAATTATTCAATTAATCGCTTTTTTGGCATAAAAACAGTGCAAAATTTTTATTGTCAATGATGCCTTAATTCAAATATAGTAACTTTAAACTAGCTTTTTTTTCAATCCTGTAATAGTTAATGGAAATCGTAGAATTCTTTTTCTGCTGTCAGTGTACAAACTGAACAGTTAAAAATGAAAAGTTTAATAAAATGTAATGAAAATGCAAAATAGAAATTGAACTTTACTGATTGTCTATGTGCTCAATTCAGTAATTAAAAATATCTTAAAATGCTTTAAAATTTTCCATTTAACTGAACTTACTTACCTAATGTTCTCTTGGGACTAATCGCAATATTTTTTCATATTTTTTGCACTGCCTTTCACAGTTAGAAATTTTAATATAATTTTTTTAAAATTTGAAAACTAAAATATTAAAAGTTGGAGTTTTTTTAAGCAAATTATTTCCAAAAGTTTAGTAAGCTTATATGCATAACGTTGACCTATAACTATATTGTAATTGGCAAAATTTAAAAAATAATCATTGTATTAAAAGATTAAGTAAAATAGGAAGTACTTTGATTTACTTGTAAGTAATTTTTTTCTCTCCACATTTTGGATCTGTTATTTCAAGCAATACTGCCTTACTGAGCAATTTCCGTTTCCGTTTTTAAAGTAAAAGGTAGTTTTACTTTAAAAAAGCTTTTATTACTTTAAAAATCTTTTTTGCATCATATTTTGACGGTTTTTTTAAAACTAGCTGTCAAATTTTTTAAATCTTATATATATGTTATTCAAAACCTTTTAGCTTTTGAGGTGTTTAGTTGTTAGCAATGCTTTTTAATGCTTTTTTCTGGTTAGCAATAAAATTGCCAATGTCGCATGCTTCTTCTTGTAAGCCTTTCAAGTTATACCTTATAGCAGTTACAATAATTTTATGCTCTATTTTACCATTTTTATTCATTTCTTATGTCAAAGAAAAAATTCTTAGCTTGTAAAAAGCAATTCTTATAAAATAAATAGAAATCATTACGATAGAAGAATGAAAAAAAGCTATTTTTGATAGTATTTAGCATCTAAAAATTGTTATTGACGCAAGAAATTTTGGAAAATGAAGTTGTATGAGAAAAAAATAAAATAAATGCTTGAAGTGGATTAATCTTTCTTTATTTAAGAAAATTTCACTAAAATATGATGCCAAAAAAAAAATTCTTCATCTTTTGTCAAAAATAATAGCCAAAAAAATTTAATGCAAAATTTTTTAAAAATGTTAGCATATATATAAATTTTCATCAAATCACGTCAATTTTTAAAAATCAAATATTAAAAAAATAAAGAAATATGTAAAATTTATAGCAATTATATTATATTAACAATTGTTGCTGAAAATTTTTGACACACATTTATGACCATTTTATGATGTAATAAAAAGAAAATAGTTGAGATAGACAAATTGATAAATCATACATACATTCATGCAAGATAAAGTATTCAATCTTGCAAGAATGAAAAAAATATAAAATAATTTTTTTCGTTTGTTTTTTTTATTTACATTAAAAAATTAAGAATACTAAATAATTTTTAGTGTCAATAACAAATGGATAATGGTTAGTTAAACGGAAAGAATTACGACTTCAGGACTGCTTTCAATGATGAAAGTAAGGCGACTCAGCAGGAAGGCATCAAAAAAAAAACGATCTAAGTCAACGTTCGATCTAAGTGGCTTGAGCAAAGTACTCAAGCGTACACCATTAACAAGAAAAGGGTTAATTAAGCGCAAAATTTTCTATTTAGTTTTAATTTTAGCATTTAAAAATTGAAAGGTAAAGACAGTATGCTGCGTTAAGCTTTAAATTAATGCTTAAATTTGCTGTCTCTTTCAGTTATATATTATTTGTGTTATAAAAATTTCATTTAATTTTTACGTAAATTTCTTTGAGTTTAATTAATTATTTATTTTTTATGGCATTTTTATAACTGATCAAACTTTTACAATGTTATAAGAATACTTTGCAAATACTTTGGACAACTTTCTGAATAATAAAATGTAGTCACATATAAGCACAAATTTTTAATTAAGCAAACACTAGTAGAATCAATTCATTCTGCATAACTAAAACAATATAGCTAGTAATTATAATTGAAATAATACTGTTATTATAACTATTATAAGTATTATTATTAAAATTAAATTAAGAAAAATTTGAGGTCACATCAATGTCAAGATGGCTTACCACCTTGCCATTCATCATCTCAAGATGATTCTTCCGTTGCTGTGCCTGCCAAAGGTCGTATCGTACATATGGTAGGCGTATTTCAGAGTACTCCTAGTACATCAGTTTCATATTCCGATGAAAGTAATAATGGAGCTATCACCACTGTAGCTAATAACATGTCAGGTTAGACAAATGTATCAAATTAATTGCTGCTTTTAATAATATAATATAATTATTAAATGTGTACATTTAAAAACTTTAAGATTTAATAAACCTTTTGCATGAAAGCTTTTCAAAGTTTGATAAGTTAAAGGTTAGACTATTATTTTTCATTTCTCATTATATATTTTATTCATCAAAATAATAATGCAATAATATGAAAATTTGTTTCCAATATTTATAAAGAAAGAAGTTGTAAATTATTTTTATTGGTGAAATTTATTATATATTGTACTATTTAAAGTTATTTAATAAATTTTGATTTTTTATTTTTTAATGCTTTAAATCTAATGTGAAAAAAATAAAAGTATCCCAGTAAGATAATAGTTGATCTCATATTTCATGCATGAAAACTCTGATGATGTATTAAGAGTAGACTAAATATTTATATAAATAAATTTTTTTGTTGCTATAAGTCACATGAATTATTTTAAAGAATATATTATGGATCGGAGCAAAAAATGCTGGATGGTAATTTTGGGAAGTTTTTTTAGTATTTAAAAAAAATATGTCGTTTTAAGTTTAGCTCAACTGATAATAAAAGTGATAACCGGAATCTGTCGCAGTTAAATTCATCACTGATTCAAATATAGCAATTATTGCCAATGAATTTGTTAGAAGATTCATTATGGGTGCGTTATGGTCGTTGATCAACATAAAGTGTCACAACGGTAATCAAAATATCGTATGATAATTAAAATATTAAAAAAAATGTCTAGGCAAATTATCAAAATTCCGTCCAACAAAAAATGCTCTGATTCCATCATGACCAAAAAGTAGATAAAGAGGTTATAAATAATATTCATGATAAAAAAATTAAAGATGCAGAATAAAATGACTAGATTTCACTTTAATCTCATTTTTCTTTCTTTGAAATTAAATCTTCACTGGATATAAAAGTAATAGTCAACAATTTATCTATCAGGACATCTTGATGAACCCAGAATATACCGTCAGTTTACCAATTCATCTGGCACAACGGAACAAGAAGATTTTACAAGTGAAGAATTAGAAGAATTCGTACAAGCATTCAAAGTTTGCTTTTAAATCATTCAAATATAACAATACTTTAATCACTATACGATATTTGATCAAAAGCCTGATTACAATTTTAAATAAGTTTTACTCTTCACACTTTATTTTATTGGTTGTAAATATCATAACTTTTAATCAAATATGAATTATAGTTAAATTATTAATTGGTTTTGACAAGTTGTTTGAAAACTTTGAGGTTAATGAGAGATAGCTGTGATGTTTGCTGTCAAGTATACTTACATATCTTATTTTCGTAATTTCAAAAGATTATCTTAATTTTTGACTTTTATTTGTTAAAATTTTAATTTCTCATCGTAAAGCTATTTTTTATATCACTATAGCAAGGCTTGTTAAGATAAAGAAATAATTGGGGTCACTTGATTTTTATAAAATTCTAAATCTAAATATCAAATAGCGCTAAAATACATTTAGATGTTTGATAAAGATGGAAATGGTACGATGAATATCAAAGAATTAGGTGTAGCTATGCGTACACTTGGCTTGAATCCGACTGAGGAAGAACTTTTAAATATTGTTAATGAATATGATGTAGATGGCAACGGAAAAATTGACTTTTTTGAATTTTGCAAAATGATGAAAGAAATGAATAAGGAAACAGATCAAGAATTGATACGATTGGCTTTCAAGTATTTAGTTTTATTTATATTAATCAATTATTTTTTTTTTTAAATTTATTACTGAAAAGCTGATTTTTGAAAAGTATTCACAAACTGCATAAAATGCATTAAATTTGAACTAAGTTTTTTCAAAAATTTTGTCATAAAAAGCTTAATTTGATCCATAAACTAAAAATATTAGATTTCAGTGAAAAAAAACGAAAAAACTCTCTTCTTAAATTGCTGAATTTCTGAGGATATGTGAAATATGCGCATTAATGAAGAATAAAAAAAATGCACCAACTACTCATATTTCATTTTGTTTACCTTGTTTGAACTATATATCAATTAATTCTGAAAGAATATGCAAATGCATAACGCAAAACTTTGAGAAAATAATTAAAATTTAAACTTAAATTTCTGAAATTTGAACACATTCAAATTTACTTAAAACAATTGAAATAAATCTCACATGGCAAATGATATTTAACATTTCTTACAGTATTTTTAAACTGAAATATTTGACTGATTAAATAATAATTCTAATTCGTTACAAAAAGATTTTGATTGTATTTAAGTATAAGATATGCTTTTCATTCACTTATATACAATCTTTAACAAAGAAAGTAAAGGAAAGCCAAAAATTTGATCAGTTTGCTTCATTTTTCATCAAAGTTATATTCTGTGTTTGATTACTTTTTAGCTTTATTTTCAAATTTTCTGAAACATAAAATGAAAAAATTTGAATTCAGAGGGTTTCGACTGAAATATAATTAGTAAATTTAGCTATTTTTTTTTGTAATTTGCGAACAGTACGTCAGTACTTGATGCGAAGTAAATAGCGATTATATCAATGCATTTTTTGGCTCTCTATTTACAATAACAATAAAAACCAATTATTTAAATTTAGAAAAAATGTATAATAATAATTTTAGAAAGTTTTGAAACCTAAATTTAGCAGGCAGTCAAAAAAATTTTCATTGCTATCATTACGATTGATTAAATAGTATTATTTAATTCTTCAGCTTGTAGTTTATCAAATGTAAAAAAGGCATATATGTTAATTTTTAACCAAAAATAATGCTAAGTCTTATGCATAAGATATTTCAAACTCATCATGAAGTTATACCTTGTAGAGTGTTTGATAAAGATGGTAATGGATATATTACTGCTCAAGAATTCAAACATTTTATGACAACAATGGGTGAAAAATTTAGCGAAGAAGAAGTGGATGAAATAATTAGGGAAGTAGATAAAGATGGCGATGAGCAGGTACCATATTCATAATAGCTGCGCAGCTAATCACTAATTATAGTTAGATAAGTTTTTTGACAATAGAAATGTGTATAACATTCTGTAGCAGTGCTGTTCATCATAATCATAATTCTCTTTTACAATCATGAAATTTCGACCTCATAAAAACCTAATAAACGTTTTTAAAATGAAAATTATCAAAAAGTCTTTAAATATGATCAGACATTTAATACACATTTTTATCTACTGATATAAGCAATTGAAAATGTATAAAGAAATACAGTTATATGAAAACTTTCAGATTAATTATGAAGAATTTGTTCAAATGATCGCTCCAATTGTTGATAGTGCCAAAGATGATCCATTCGGTGAGCCACCAAAAAAATAATACTACTTTCAAGCAATTATTTTACCTATGCAAAAAAAAAAAACCCTCGAAAATTAATACTTATTATTATCTCTGCTAAAAACACAATAACAATGATCAAACAATAAAGGATTAGAAAAAAGTTGGCGCGAGAAACCTGTTTACTTGCATGAATATTTTCAACCCTTTCTCAGGGATTTCATCACGAATTACAAAGGTTAAATGTATGACATTGATTCTTTCCTACGTGTCGAAATGCGTCATTTGTATACGTATATCACATTACGAGAAACTCTATTTGTTAAAACTTATTCTCCAAAAAGTTTAACTTTTCAATTTTTTGCAATAATTTTTTAAACTTCCAAGTTTTTACACAATGAAAATGCAAGTCTCTCATATACATGAAAGCCTCATAATTACTTCTGCTATTGATTCTTTGCAGCAATGTACTGATTGCAAACTTAGATTTCATTTTAATGCATTTAGTCTCGATCCATGTCATAATGCGTTAACTTCAAGACACACTCAAAGATCTCTAATGAATTTTGAGACTGATTAACTTCAGGTCCGGCAGCATTTACCTCTATGCAGCCCAGTTGATTCTAGCTTTGTATATCACAAAATCTCTTCCATTGCTTTGTACATCGTACTGCCTCATCTATACAATTTCATTACACCAAGCAAGACTCTCGACTTTCTTAACGACCTCATTCTGGATAAAAATCATCATGAAAAAATATGTCTTATCTGCACAAAAGATAAATATACAATCCATTGTCAATCTCACGATATGTTGATTTCCTCACAAAAATTTTGAGAAAACGTACACACTAAACTTTCTGTTTGTAAAGACAAATTTCTCTTTTACTTTAATTCAAATAATCCTCATTTTTTTTTGCTACTTAGTAAATTCAGTAAAATACAAAGGTATTGTTCGTTTGTACTTCTGGAATAAAAATTTATACAACCATGTTTTGTGACAATTTTATGTTGCATTACAGCAAGGAATAAAATAGAGACAACTCATCTAGATTACGTTGTTGCCAAAGATAATTTCTCACGCGTTTTTCTTCAATAACACGTATTCATCCATATATCACTTTAATTTCAAGCAGAAATTACCAAATAAAAACTATTTCTAACGACTACTATCTGCATTTAAAGCAGGAATTGCCGGCTTTAAATCAAAAATTATCTCTAACAACTACTGGAATAGAATGTTTCAGCAACCTGCATATCACACAGTCTTAAATACAACAAAAGATATTCGTCATAGCTGCAACCTTTCAATAACAGCATTTACTAAGAACAAGAATGAAAAGAACATAAAGTGACTAGGACCAGACACCTATCTTCAAATTAAGTGGAAACTTTACAATATTCAAACATCTACAATCTTTTTTTGTCTTGAGCTTCGACCTATATTTTCACGAGCATTGATGGCACGCATAATAAGCTGAAACGACACCAAGAATCATGATCATGTTGAAATAAAGTTGAATAAGGAATAAAATACATAAATATGATGCAAATACAAAAAAAAAAAATAGATTATGCACAACATACTTTAGTACGTCCACGTTTTTTTTTCCGTTCTTTCCTACTTAAACCTGGTATATTAACAGGAATTTGATGTTTTTTCAAAATGGCTTTAAGCTTAACCATTTGTTGTTTCTGCAAATCATGATATGCTGCACGCAATTTTCGGAACGTTTCTCTAAAAAGTAAGAAACTACTTATGAAGTGAGAAACAAAATGCTTGATAAGAAATAAATGACTAAAGTATGCCTAAAAAATCATATTTATGTAATAGAAAAAAGCTCCAAAAGATTTTATTCTTTCACAGAGGGAAAATATCTTACAACGAATAAACTTGCAAATGACGAAAATATCTTGTTGGATGGGAGACCATAGCTTTCAGTTTGACTTGATAACGCCTTCGCCGTCTACGTCTGAAAAAATTCAGCTAGTTAAAAGTGCCAACCGTATGAAAGAAATAATTTTTGCAGCTTTTTCATGGTTTTATTTAATATAAGATTAATTCAATGCCTGAACATTACTTCGGTCGGCTATTATTGGTTTTCGTCACTAAAAATTCTTTGGGAGTTACAGTTCCAACATGTCTGTAAGTTTTTTTTAACGATTGCGCAGTAACTGGTACCAGTACAGGAGTATTGTCTACAGCTTTTTTTTGAATATTTTCTTCCCTTTTGTACTCAGCTTTAGGCATGTATTTAGCAACAGCAGCATCAATATCATTTTTTGAACCTAAATAAAAATGAACCATTAAAGGCCATGCCATAAAATTCAATCCTTAATTTCTAGACATACATTTTCCATTAATTCAGACTGGCATATTTCTTTGAGAAACTTCAAACACATCAGCAATAAACACATGTGTTTTTTGTTTTTCAAAAACTGGAAAACTTGAAACGATCTTTCAAAACTTTAACAAAATCTAGAAAAAAATTTGAATAATAACATGAATATGAGCAAAATTTTGAAAACAAAGTATTATTTAAGAAAAGAGATTTTCATCCTGCAAAGTTTTTTTCTTTTTTTAAATAATAAATATTACCTACTCTTAATAGTTTTAAATTTTTTTCGAGGAATATCGTCCTGTTCAGAACCATATTCTTTTCTTCGCTTTTTTGATCTTCTTTGACTTTCATGTTGCGCAATGTCACTAGAATTGCTCAAGCATAAAGCGCGAGGTTCCCAAACTTCAGAAACGTCATTTTTTATTGCACCTGAAGTTTCTCGAACACTAGTGAAGTAATATTCACATGACCAGGAAAAACTTTTATCAGCAATGTGGTACTTAGTATTTCAAAACTGAGTAAATCCGTAGGTCTAAAAAATTAAGCACATTCAAGCAAAAAACTTTTTTGGTATTTTTTACCAAACTCCATATTTCCACTTTATCCGATAACAACACCTGACTAAATCCTCATTAATTGGACGATTTCAAAAATTTTAAAATAATCACCAATTTTATATTCGTTTCCTTTCAGCCTTTCTTTTATCTTTTTCTTTTCTGCTGACAATTTTTTTTTAAAGGGACTTTTTGTATTTCGAAATTTTGAATGGAAATTTGAAATAACCCACAATTTACTCATTTTATACTTCCATTTTAATTTAAGACGCTTTCCTCGTTCTCTAGCAGCTTTCTTTCTCAATAACTGATGAAACTGAAAATAATTGTTAAATGATATCAGATGGAACACCTTAAACTAAATCAATGCAGAAAAACTGCTAGCATAATTAATGACTTTTGAAATCAAAACATCTAACATCAATTATCATTATTACTGACGATCAACTGCAAATTCAAATATGATACCTTGATGAACTTCACTGGTGACTGCTTATCTAAAAATTTGATGAATGCACTTTGGAAAGATCTTTCTGTACATACAAGTGCACCCTCTTGTTTTCTTTCAGTAATGGGGTGTACATAAACAACAGTTCCAAATAAAGAAGCCCACTTCTGCAGTGAAACTATTTCACAACCAAGAGGTAAATTGTCCTGAAATAATTATTACCCAATAATCTTTGAAATCGTCAAACTTACTAAAACAAAGGCATCCAGTATTATATAAATTACATCCAATATGTTCCACAATTTCCTATAAACATGTTTGTAGTAATGAACACTTGATAATTACAGCCCGATCAAAGAATAGTATTTGAAAGTAAGATTAACTTACAACATAAACAGTGGTAGCACTACAATCTGGATTAATGCCTTTCAAAACAATTTTAAGCACTTCTTTCGAATCACCAACGACAGAAAAATATTTAGACAAATTTCCAATACTGATTAATGCTTGATAAGTTAGTTTTTGGTATTTATCTGAGTCTAAGCTCAGCAATTTTATCACCGATGAAAATGGCACACTAACTACAGAATTTGAATCTGTTTTAAACAAGCCGTGAATCGGCGAATCATTTGTACACAACGCAATTTCAATCTGTAAAATAGTTCGACATGGTTTTAAAAAAAATGTATTGTAGATATGAACATTATTCATTAAAATAAAATACTTTGAGCAAGCAAATATCTATTTAACATGTCACACAATATGCAAAGCAATATTACTTTTTCCCTAATTTCCTGGCGGAGAGCTTTGGTACGAGGGCGTTTTCGATTTCTTCTTCTCCTGTCTCTCTTTAATATGGTATCTTCTTGATTGTTGGCAGTCATATTATCTAAGTGATATGATATGAAGTCGTATAACTTACAACCAATTTTCCTTTCCAAAAACCTAAATGAAGATAAAGTATAAGATAACCACAGTTTTGTGAACAAAGATCAAGTGAAAATTATATCTTAATAGCATCTACTTCAGAACCTAACAAACTTAATTATCCGTATTAAAATTAATAAGTCATACATGAATGACTGAACCAAACTACTATGCAGGTGTTTTGAATACTATTAATCAAAGCCTTACTAGAAAGGAACTATTCATAATCTTTTTAAAGACAATATTCACACATGCTTTATTTAAAAGCCCATGAAGAGAATGTCCAACAGTCACGGTACCAGACCAAAAACATTACTAATTTACAATAGCATTACACTAATTCTTAAGTACACAAATATTACACTGATGGACTAATTATTAATAAGTCATACAAAAAAATTAAGAAGTATCAATAAAATACCTTTTTCAGAGTTTTTGACCGATCCCTGAAATATCTTCAAAATTAAGGAAAAGTTACAAAATATAATCATTTCATATAACCACATCCTAAAATCAATAAGTGCCGGGTAACAAATGATGACTGAGAAGCATCGAACATTTTTCACATTTCTTACATTCGAACATTTTTTACATTCGATTTTACATTGTTAACATTTGTTACATTCTATTTCTTTTTGCAATACAACAATTTCTAACTTCATTCCATTCCAATAATTTTTAATTCGTAATTCCCAATTTTACCTTAGTAACCCATAATTTTCAATTGCAGCTTAAGTTAACATCTTTAGAGCACATATATTCCCAACCAACACAACTGAACAAAAACATACGTGAAATCGCGCGCAAAGTACTGGTGAAAATGTTCACGATTTGTTTTGCTGTCGAGACAATAATTTTCATTTTGACTTCGTGAAATTCTTTAACTATAAACTTGCAAACATTTTTAATTAACATTAACAATGTTTGTTTGGTACCCTAATATGGTGTTTCAACTTTTTCTATGGAAATTCCTCCTTTACGAACTAATCTTCAAAACCATTAATTTTATGTTATTTAAAATCTCTTCAGAGAGAAATAGTGACATGAAACAAGAAGAAATAAAAACTGAACACGTTGACCTGTCAACTGTTGAATCTGCAAATATTTCTCTGGCAAAACTTAAAAAACAACCGCGCTTGAAGTTTGTATTTTGAATCTATGCACAATTTTTTTTCCTTAGGTTTCAGCACTTTTGAATGCTATTTTTTGGTCATTTTAGGAATAATGTAAATATTGTGCTTGCAGTCGTATTATTCCAGGCAGGGGAAGTTTGTACACAAGAAAACTAAGCAAAGATTCAAGAAATTTGTACATATTATATCTGAGGATGCCTTGAAAAGACACGATACAGGTGCAGCGTCCATTAATCCAGTAATAATTTCTTATACTGAATATTTGCTGTATTTAATCTTATAAGTTTTTCAAAAATTTCATAACTTTTTTCGACAATTATTACGTTACGATTCTTCTTTTGCTGAGCTTAATCAACATTTAGAGCAATGTGAAAACTGGTTTTCATAAAGAAAAACTTGCTAAGATAAAAAGAAAGTTTTTGCAAAGAACTCGAGAAACTGCGCGTGCTGAACTTCTCAATAATGAACAACAAGGGTATGCTTTTTAGATTTACACTTTATATGTACGCATGATTTGTTGAAGGCTATTATGTTTGTAGTTTCCTTGCTGGAGATGAAGATGAACTTACCTATACCATCAAACAGGAAGAAATAGCTGGTGCTGTAGATATTGCTAGTGCGAGCAAGGTACGATTGTGTCTAATTTCGTTTGTATTTTTGTTGTATGCAATTGTTAACATTCATTTTAATTATTTTGATAATTTTGACTTTTTTAATGCAAATATAACTTAGAAGACTTGTTAAGTGCATATGATATTTAAATTAATGTGTTAGTTTCTAGCATTTCGATCTGCGATTAGAACGTTTTGGCCCTTATCGTGTAGATTATACTTGTAATGGTCGTCATCTTTTAATCGGTGGTAGACGTGGGCATGTTGGGGCTTTTGACTGGTTAACCAAAACACTTCGTTGTGAGATAAATGTTATGGAAAGCATCAGAGATATCAAGTAAAGAATTAAGAAAGCAAGCACATACAAAGCACCTGTTCACATAACTGTTCTTTTATCTAGTAAACTTAGACAAAAGTTTCTAGACGATCTGTTATATAATTTCATTAGAAGTTTTGGAAGTCATATGGTTTTTTTTTCAGATGGCTACACGTTGAAACGATGTTTGCTGTCGCTCAAAAGCGATGGACTCATATTTATGATAATATGGGAGTGGAGTTGCACTGTTTAAAAAATTTACATGACATTAAGCGTTTAGAATTTCTTCCTAGACATTTTCTACTTGTCGCCGGAGTGAGTTTACTTTGCAAGTAATTTTGCGAAATTGACGAATCCAATATGACATTGATTGTGTCCATAATTTTAATTGGAGTATTTATCTAATAAAGCGATTGCAAAATGTCATAGACAAGCAGTATCAAGCTTTATGTTTGTTTGATTAAAACTTCAATTGAATCGGTGTGCAAAGAATTATCTAATTTGTATTCTTTTTTTTTTTTTTGCAGAGCAATACGTCTTTCTTACATTACTTAGATGTTTCTATGGGTAAAATGGTGCAGTCATTTCCAACGAAGCAAGGGCCTCTGGATGTAATGGCACAAAATCCAAATAATGCCATCATCCATACTGGGCATGGAGATGGTTTGTCATTTGAAGATTTATGCAGGAAAAGATTAAATTGAAAGAAACCAATTATTAATAGGACTTGGCAGATATCTACTTTAGTTCTTCCTCTTTTTGAGCATGACAAATATCTTCAGGTACGGTGCAGTTGTGGTCTCCAAATGTTCAAAAACCATTAGTGAAAATGCTTGCTCATCCATGTTCTATACGGGGTATTGCAGTACAAGGAGACTATTTGGCTACCACTGGACTTGATCGGAAATTAAGGCAGAATTCTTCATTGAAATCCAGTATTTAGTTTAAGAAGTGATTTCAAAATTTCATTTTATAGGATATGGGATGTACGTAATTATAAGCAGTTGTATGCTTACACATTGCCCTTTGGTTTAAGTCAAGTGTCATTCAGCCAACGCAATGCAGTTGCTTGTGCTATTGGTAATCAAATCCAGGTGTTATCTTGCTTACCTTTTTTTTAAATCTTCAAATTTTGCTTGTTTGTGAGTGTCAGTGTGTTATAAATCTTATGAATTTCGCAGTCGGAATTTGTAGTTTTATAGATTTTAAACGATGCACATTTGGGAACAACTACTGCACCATATATGTCTCATCAGTGTACGGGGTTCGTTAGTGATATTCAATTTTGTCCTTTTGAAGATGTTCTTGGAATTGGACATCAACAGGGATTCACAAGCATGCTTGTTCCAGGTCTTAATACTTTATTCCCTTTGCACTGTTTTCGCTGTCAGTCGATTGAAGTTCTATTGGAAACATTTTCAAAGTATTGGTTTAGGATGTGGCGAACCCAACTTTAATGCTCTTTTATCAAACCCATACGAATCAAAGACGCAACGACGTGAACGAGAAGTGAAGCAGCTTTTAGATAAAGTAATTTTACCATTTTATGTTTTTTCTCTCTGCAAATGCTATAACATGCGCAGATACTGTTACATATTTTCTAGATACAACCGGCACTGATCACTATGGATACTACAGAAATCGCCCAAGTTAATACAGATTTGCTGGAAGAACAGAATGAACGACTGAAATCATTGCTTCATGTGAGACCACGTGAAGTAAAATTCAAACCAAAAAATAAGAAGAAAGGAAGAGGCAGTGCTCTGAAAAAGGTTTGTAATTGAAAAATTCGATTTGTTTTCTTTCCTAAGTTTATTTTGTCCTTTAAACATAATAGCGAAAGCCATGTTTGTGACATGTTTCGAAATTTGTTGAATTTTGCAGGAGCAACGTAAACAAGGTGTACAATCCGAACGTAGATTTGCATTGAACGAGGAACGGAAGATATTAGAGAAAGAAGTCTTAAAGGATGATTCGAAACCAGAGGGTGTTTCAGAATCGAAATCAGTGCTTGATAGATTCCGGACAAAAGTTGCATGAACTATCTTTTATTCAGTTTTGGTCATTACATATTTCTTATTGCTTTTTACCATGTCTGTATTTTTTTATTGATGAATGAATCGTTGATTCATTCTTTGGTAAAAGTACTACTAATGTTGATTCCTCCGTGCTAGCTTGCAAATTATGGTTTTGTTTTTTCTGATAAATTTATTCCCAACAAAATCCTATCTTGCTGCTTCTCTCTGCAAATAACCGTTCATGTAACTAAAAGAAGAAAAACTGTTGTTGTTGTTTCCTCATTTTAAATGATTTGTTCTTTTCGTTTTGTTGTTTTTGCTTAATTTTGAAATAAAATTTTGCTTCCTCTTAGAATTAACTTAACGAGCGTATTCTGCGCTAATGGATTACTAAAATACGTATTTTATCTTATTAAATACGTCTTACTTTAAATTCGTCATGAGTTCAAATTCATAAAGCTCTTATTGTTTGCGTGATTAAGCACTTGCGATACTTGGTGTGTTCATTGAATTTTCCAAATAAAATGAACATAAATTTTTGCAATCAGTGTACATGTCATAAAAGTCCGGCAATGACACTCGATCACACTAACTTTTCTGGAGTTTGTTCCATGTGTATTATGTATTTTCACTTTTTATGGGGCTCCCAATATTCCAGTTTTTCAATCTTCGATTCTAACCGGATACTAGCCTAATTATTTTACTTGTATAATATTAACGTGATGGGTGTTGGTAAATTTTTATTGCTAATTTTCATTTCATTTGGCATCGCTCTGCTTTTATTCACTGTCTATACGAATTTTCCAGAGCTTTCTGAGTAAGTTTACTTTCCAATATCCCTTTTCAGTGGCTCTTGCTGTGTTTCATTCCTAAATTTATATCTCTATTATAACTTTATGCACTTTGTTCTTGCATGAGTTTGTTCTTGTCGCAATCGTTTTCTGGTTTGATATAGGTTTGGAAAGTTTTAGCCATTATTATAAAAATCTGCTCATTTTAAGTCAAGCTATCTTAAATAACTTGACTCGAAAGGGAACATCCAAATAGATTCTTATCGATAATGTGGTTTGCAAAGAATTGTATTCCGAATCATAGCATTTTACTTAATTAATTTCAGAGATGAACGAGCTGATTTCAAACTACCTAAAGATCTGGTTCAAGCAAAACGGTTGGGTTTGGTCCTCTCAAAATATAAAGAAGAACATTATTACACCGTACTGTTTGGCATATCAGCTGTCTATATACTGTAAGCTGCTTTTTTAACATTTCCATGTTAAACTATGGGGAAGTATTTCAAACCACTGTGATGATTGCGCACTGATGAAAGGGTTCACGTAATTATTTTGCAGTTAATTCTGTGTAAATTTCAAGTGGCGTATGAAATATGTCAGATAAAACTATAGTTGTTATCAAAAACTTCTGTTCCAAGACAAATCATCATCTTTCTAAGTCTAAAACCATGATTTATTCTCAAATGTTTGGAGTTTTTTCATCACTTTAAGGAGTTTAATTTATTAAAAATTATAAATCAGTCAAATTAACCATATAAATAAATAGCTTCGTAAGAGATTCCTTGAAATTTCAATCATATCTCCTGTTTACAAGTTTTTTAATCTCTTGCCAAATCAAAACTGTGAAATAAATGTGTTTAATACTTTCTACATGTTCCAAACTTTTGGTTTCTACTTTACCTCTCTAAAAATCATGCTTGCATATGGTACAAATTAAATTACTGCTTTCAGTTTACAGTCATTAGCTATTCCTGGTTCCATTTTTCTTACAATTCTTTCCGGATATTTATTCTCATTTCCAACTGCCTTATGTCTAGTTTGTACGGTAAGATTTACTTTTTTTACATAATGCATTTATAGTTATGTAATCTTATGTTTACTACATCGATTTATACGGTTGATATATTTTTCATCTTTTTATATGTCCGTTTTTTTACTCTTATCTTGAATAAAACTAATTGGCCTTTTAAGTGTTCGGCTTGTGGAGCACAAATTTGTTACTTTTTTGCATTATTATTTGGTCGTGAACGAATTATGGCATTTGCACCAGAAAAGATTAGTAAATGGCAAAATGAGGTTTGTTTGAATTTCTGAATTAACTGAAATGCAACATAAATTCTCTTTGTCTAATTTGTGAGGGATCAGAAATTTAGGACGAAACATAAAATTGATTTAATAGTGTCAGTTACCAAAATAATCCTATCTACTACATATTGGATTTCATATCCAAAATAATGTTCGATATTTTACTTTCCTGATTTGTCTCTAAAAAATTATGAAAAACTTCAAACGTCATGTAGGCCTTGCTGTTGTGACTCTATATATAAGTACTATGCGTAATATTTTTTCAGATTGCTGATTTCGACAGTCTGTTTTATTTTGTAATTTTTTTACGGATCACTCCAATTTTGCCAAATTGGCTTATAAACCTTGCATCACCGATATTTGGCGTTCCAGTACCCGCTTTCTTTTTTGGAACATTTCTGGGTCATTTTTATTTTTGCTTAACACTGATTTTGCAATACAAAATGTCAATTACGTTAGAGTTAATTACACTCTCAACTATCTTCTTTGCATTTTCATAATGAAACGTTATTTTTCAGGTGTTGCTCCACCTTCATGCATATACATTCAAGCCGGTGCCACTCTTCAAAAGCTTACGCATGTGGGAGCAGCTTGGTCATGGAGTGCAGTTTTTATAATAGCATTCGCAGCTTTCTTGTCTTTGGTGCCCGTCATTTACAAGAGTCTGAATTTCGGTAGTTCCTGTAAATCAACAAAGTATATTAAAACTTCATAGGTACTAATATTATTTTTATTTATCAGAGTCTGTGTTCGTAAAAGATATTTTGGTTAAGAAAAACGACTTAAAAAGTGTTATTTTATTTTCGGTGCATTTTTGCTATAAAGATTTTAAATGAAGGTTGGAGCATGATTTCGATATACTGAAATATAATTTACTTTCTTATAGTATTTGAAAGAATTATTCTGTAAATTCTTTCAATATAACATTTGAATCTCAAATCTCTCAAATGACAGAACGTATTTTTTTTTAAATAGCATAACTTGAGTTTTATGTTTTAAGTTCATATAGTTTTGTAAACTTGCTGTTTACAGGACTTGAAGTTATTATTTGCTCATTGTTTTTCTTTGTAATGATCTAATGATTTCGGGTGATTTGATGTTTTATACCTTTTTATAGGACCTTAATTTAAAAAAATAACTCTGTCTTTTGTTTTGATTATTTTGGTTCAGTAACAAACAATATCATCAACTCTTTTGCCTCTTTCGCACTTAACTGTTGCAATTGTCGGATATCAGAGTTCTAGACTCAAATAATGTAGAGCCTTGCTGTAGGACAAAAAGTGCTCTTTGATCTAGTTTAACTAGGTTGGGATGAGTAATTTAATTGTGTAAGATTGATTTATCCTAAAATATCGAATTACAGTCACACTTTTTCTACAAAACATAACAACATCTCTTTTGTTGATGTTTGAGTTTGTGTTACTGTAATAACTAAAATGACTTCTATTATTTATTTCCTCATAAACTTTGTCTTGGCTTAATTTGTGGTCTTATTTCTTATTTCTTGGCTTGTTACAGACTCCTTAAAACAATTGTCAGTTTTTATTTTTCCAATATGATAATTATAATCGTGTATTACCAACTTTAAATTTTCATTCTGCGATTGAAATCTGAAATCGGTGGTAATATTTCAGTCTAGCTTATGGAATTTTCAAAAAGATATCATGAGGAAAGTGATTTTCATACTGAAGCTGAAATTCTGTACGATATTATGTAGCCACTGGTACGTCGGAAAGATTATGTTCTTCCACTACTGATACTGATTGAAGAAATATTTGTAATTTGATTTGATATGACTACCTCTTTTTTACTGTAAGACTTTCATGCAACTGGTCTTGGATTTATTAATGATTCTTGTAATAAAATAATTATATCACTATGTTTTCCTAGCGTTGAGAAATGAAGAATATGAAAAAGTGGTGAATCTTGAGAGTTCTGAATTAAGTTTGATTGCAAGGAAAATAAGTTAGCGATCATTGACTGCAGAAGGAAATGGAATAAGTAAGGACCATTATAGATGGAAATGTTCGGTCTAATTTCTTTGTTCCACTGCTCTTCATGAAAATTGCATGGAGTTTAGATGTATTGGTAAAGAGTTCATTGCACTTGTATCACTCTAGTTTGAGTGGCTGTGGTAAAGTAAATTAATGCTCAAGATCGAGCTCAGGTGTTCAAAAATAGCATTACTTTCAGATAAAATGTGGAGAAACTTGCTTCTAAAATTATGCTTTCCACTAATGCTTAGTTTAATTATTTTTAATTTTTTTCTATGGATTGGCGTTTTCTCCTTTTTAATTCGGTCTTAAGCTCGCTTTTGTTCCATAAACATTTTTATGCATGATAAGTTTTTTTTTTTTGCATGACAAAGTGTATTTTTTGCAGTTCTGCTACTGTAGATATAGCATATGACTTGAAAATAATGATCTTACTGATATACTAAGTAATAATTACTTCAAAATAATGATCTTTTGACATGTTTTCAGTGAATCTATCTTGTGCAGAATAATTGGACTCAAAATTTAGTTTGCTTCAAGTAATATAACTATGATACTGATCTGGAACTATGGTAATCCCATGACTATGCAAATAGTTGATAGCAGTTAGAGTAGGAGAAAATTGATACCTGGCTAAATTACGGAAAGTGAATATGCATCTTTTAACACTTGATTAATGCTGAATAATAGAAAGGATATTAGTTATTGAACAAGTGTTTGAATATTTTTAAGATTTTTTTAATCCTTTTTTGGATCACTATTACTATTTCAGCGCACTATTTAATGGTACCTGAAATTATTTGTTGTGATTCTTTATCTGCAGTTCTATTTTTAATTTTCTGATAAATTCGCATTGATTAACATACGACACGATGTAAACTATATTCATAAGTTCAAAAAATCAGCAAATAATTAATTGGTACTTACATATTTAAGAATTTTTAGGATACCATGCATATGCAAATACGAGTTACTAAGACCTGGATAGCAAATTCAAATTTTTCATTCAATTTTATCATTTTTGGTGTGAAAAATGAAACGTATTTGTTGTAAGAGAGCAAGGCTGAAAAGTAAAAAATATCATTTGGTTATGGATTAAGAAATTGAAAGAATTGAAGGTCATAATTTGTTAAAGCTAAGAAATATACAATTTAACTGGCTGGAATATGGGAATCAGAAAAAAAATAATTTACAGTCTTAATTTTATTTAATATAACTTTCTACAACAGAAATACAAATATTTGAGAATATACTCCTTAATGACTAACAAAAAACAATCACATATTTTAAAAATATAACTAATTTATTTAGTTAGTGAAAATTCTCTCAGATAAATATTACTTCAAATAGATGCTTTGTTATGAATAACTTACTCCTTTCACAAAAGAATGAACATCTGTTGTGATGCCACTTGTTGCTCTTTTCAATGAATGTTGATTACTAACAGAGAATATTTCTGATTCTACCACAAAACAAATTGAAATTGATCATTTTTTTTCAGATTTGTAAATTTTATCATAAGGTGATCAAGTTAAGCAAATAGATGAAAGATCTGAAAAATTCATTTCGGACTTGTGATGTTTCCAAAATTTGACTCAATGATAGCTGAAAGGAAATTTTATTTAAAATATTTAAATGTAGTTTCGTTCGATGTTTTTTCTCCTATTATTTTTTTCTGCGTAAGCTACCAAATCTTTTGAAATTGGTAAATTTAGCTTTTTTATTCTTGTTAAACTAAAGAAGGATTTAAAAAATCAGAAAAAAAAAATCAATGAAAGTTAATTATATGCTTTATTAGGTCTAATAAAATTTAATTTTTATTTTATCGCTTTAATTTTTATCTACTGTATTATTTAATACTATTTAATTATAAATTTTGTTCGTCTATTCATAATAAGTAATATTACCTTCTAAATAAGAATTTTAAAAATTTGAATTCAAGTTACATATTACATAAGTCAATAGAATTTTGCAATGTTAATTTTAATTATAAATTTTATCAAATGATAGATTTATGAATCTTTTATTCCATTAATAATTTTTTTATTACCATTTATATTTTCCGTTTTTTAAGGCGTTAGATTTCTTTATTTCATATTTTGCAATAAAGAAATTTTGCTCGTTAGTTAGTTTCTTTTAGTAAACTGCTTATTTCGTACATAAAAATATTTACTATCCGTATTAACAAGTTATTGATTACAACAGTTCATCTGAGAAAGTTTACGATAAAAAAAAATTACTGGAATCATCAAAAATGTCAAAAATGAGGATTTTTTAGGTAATAAGCAGTATTTATTTGAATTTTATGATGGATATTATTTATTTTTCTCTCAGTGATTACTTATTCTTGAATCTTTGTAAACAAATGACTACAAAATTGTATTTTCTCATTGTACAAAACGATTAATTTCAAAATTTTCGAGAAGTTATTACATACTCTGAATGATTATCATTGCGCAGAGCAAAAGTATTTTTGATAAAATCCATACAGTATTATTGTCTAAAAAAGGTAGTTAAAAGTTTCAATTTCTCTACGCTAAAGAAATAAAAACAGTTGAAATTTTGATTTGTTATTTTTTAAAATACTTGAAGTTAAAAAACTAAAGAGATTTGCAAGGATTAAATTTCATATGTAAAGCAGCTGTAAATCACGATGAATAGAATACATAAAAACTAATTGACATAGTATTATGCAAAATATAGAAAAATTATGGATATAAAAAATTATGTCATATGAGAGAACAACGCTAGTTTCAAAAATTAAGCTGTCAACAGTTAAATGAACTATACTTGATTTGACTGAAATAGGCATTATTTTCGTCTGTTACCTTTTTTATAAGCTGAGATTTGAATATTTTAAAAACATATATTTAATTGGCAGAAATTTTTTACATTTCCATAGAACTTTTAATTCAAACAACTGTGCAGAAATTGAGCCTGAAGAAGGAAACAAGTACTATAAACAATTACATTTTTCATCATAATATTTATCATAATATTTTTTTTCTATTGAAAATGATAGTAATCAGTGAAATTGTACGATGAATAATAAAATAAGTAATAATTCAATATAATTTAATAACTTCCAAGGCATTAAAAAAAATTACTTTTAATCATTTAGATGTTTAAGTTTATAAAAAAATAAACTCCTCCATGAAAGCACCACTTTATGTCGTTAATGTAGTCAATAGCATCTAAAAAAAGAAGCAAATTAATTATCTGAAGTTTTTTCGATAAATATTTCCTGCTTATGTTAAAAGCAGTTTGAATTATTACTTATTTGCAGTTTATTATCCTTCGTATTTATAATGTATTTTTATCTAAATACAATCCGAAATGTTGCTTACAGCAATGCAATAAACATTTTATTTTGTATTTAAATATCAACAACAATCTATCTCGTCAGAATTAATCTGTGAATGAAAGTTTTTATTTTTGGACATAAGAATAAAAAAAGTCAAAAAAGCAATGCTATCTACGATAGCAATTAAAAAAGCAGTCATTTGTAAATAAAATGAATTTGTTATTATAGCTGCATGCTAGTAATTTTGATTTATTCCTTTACTGATGTATTTTTTTCGAATAATCATTTTAAAAAAAATACTTTTTAATACATTTTTTGAACAATATATGTATAGTTTGAAAAAAGAAGAAAACTAAATACATAATACATATACTCATACATCATTTTAGTCTACTTCATTCTCTGTATCCTATGCTT